TTTTTTAGAACAATTCAATAGCATTTTTTGAAATTAATATTTTTTTCAAAACTTGACAAAATAGAAATAATCAAATAATATTTTTGATTAATTTTACATATGAATTTTTTAGAAAAAAATAATAATTGAAGTCACAAAGACGTACCCACGTACCCGTGTCCGAAATTTGGACTCTTTTTAACCGTGTCCCCGTATCCTCCATTTTAAAAAATAAAAGATCCGCAACTTAAATACGTACCCGTATTCGATACCCGTACCCGAGTCTGAGCAACTTAGATGAGCACTCCCCTTTCTCCGAGGCCATAAGGAGCGCACCCATGCTAAGCAATTTTGTACTCCCAAAAATTCAAAAGTACGATGGGAGATGTGACCCTGCCAAACACATGGATAATTACAAGACACATATGAATCTGAAGGGGGCCACTCCGGCGATGAAATGCAGGGCCTTCCACTTAACCTTAAGTGGAGGGGCAAAGATCTGGCATGCCAGGCTTCCAGAGGGGAGCATCCGAAGTTGGCCAGAGTTCAAGACAACTTTCTTGAAGCGCTTTGCAACCAGCAAAGAGAGGGAAAGACTCATCCAAAGGTTGCAAGATATGAGGCAACAGCAAGGTGAGTCGCTGAAAAGTTTTAATTCGCGATTTACCGATGAAATGACATATTGTGTGCAAGTCACGGATAAGGAAGCTTTGACTGCCTTGAGAGGAGGCCTAGACATGAACTCTCTTTTCTGGGGAGATGTGCAAAATAAAGATCCCGCCACCTATGGTGCGCTGTTGGAGATGATAAGGCGCGAGATCCTGAATGAGGAGCTCAAAGACCACAGGAACAGGGCCAGTCAAGTCTGCCACCTCCGCAAATGCGAAGGGGAAGAGGTCCAACCTCCCATTTGATAGACAATCAAGCCCATATGAATCATGGACATGAGCTTGCTGCTGCAACACTCAGTGCAGTGCCAACACTGGCCTACGAAAGGGACGAGGTGCTAAACCTAGAAATATGGAAGAAGCACCGCAATACTGCTCATATCACCAATCTTACGGACATCGGACAGAGGATTGCCGAGAAGCCGTGAGATTCCCCCCGAGGAATGCTCCGAACAGGCAAAACCAACAAGCTCGGAACAACGAACAGCGTCGGCCTAACAGGAACGACCCTCCGCGAGGAAGGGATAACGACGCTGAAGAACCCAGGCAGGGTTAGAGGCAACGCTGAGGCCCTCCACCAGGTAATGAATACGAGCCTATTCGAGAAATCGACACGATCATAGGCGGTCCTTACGTGGGTGGAGATTCCAGAAATTCTCAAAAGAATTACGCCGGGGAAGCAGTCTATCCAGCTATGGCAAGCTACATAGTGAATCAATCCCCAAGTAAGAAGGTTTTACCTCCCATCACTTTTACACATGAGGACACTATGGGAGTGCATTATCCGCACTGTGACGCCTTTGTAATAAGGGCCGTTGTGGCCTGTAATGGCCTGAAAAGAATGTTAGTGGACTTCCTTTTTCAGAGATTCTATCTTTAACAGCGCGGAAGCCACCTTGGAAGACTCTTCAGCTTCCTTCTTCTTAGAGGCCTCAGCCTCGGCACACGCCTTTTTGGCCACCTCTTCAGCTTGGGTGGCTTTATTGGCAAACTCTCGATTACTTCGTCGAAGAGATGCAAAAAGGGCCTCCACTTCTATCATAATCCCATATGACCTTGTGGCCTGGGCTAAGGCAGTGGCCATGACGTCCACCGCGTCACTGGTTTCTACAAACGACTTCCATTTAGTGGTCTAGAACCGGTGGAAGGTCGCCGTGGCAGTTTGAACATCGGGGGGAAGAAGAGAAAGGATCTCCGAGGCTATCTCCCCTGTTTGGCTAGCAGGGACAGGTTTCCCTTGAGAAGTCTCAGAAACGGAGTCATCACCGTTGCCTTTGGCTTTCTTGATTGGAGGCTGGCCCTCAGAATCCGAAGATGCTCTTTTCTGGGCCCCAGTAGCGGCCACTATCGAACTACCCAAAAGCTTTTCCCCCGTAGGGACGTCGGACCGCGGGGGCGACGTGTCTCTAGAGCTACCCACTCCACTAGGGGTTGGAACTCGGAACTTTCTTTTGGGCTCCTCCACTACAACTTTCTTCCCTCGGTCCGGCACAGGGGGACGAACCTCCTCTTGAGAGGCAGCCTTCTTGCTGACCCTTTCCAACTTCCCTTTAATTTGTCAACCCCCGGCAGACGTGCCTTTCACCCCCTTCCGGCCTGCAGTGGAGGTGGCAGCCAAGATCGTGGCCATGTCAGGGGTAGGCACCTTCGTTTTCTCTAAATTTTCTGCAAACATAAGTGCCACATGGTGAGACGGGTAAAGGAAAGTTGTAAGCAGGCAGGTGAAGAAAACATTTTCGTAAAATAAGCTTACGTTTGGAGGCCATGAGGGACAAATCTTCGTAGAATTGCTGGGGAGTGACCAAATTGTCAAAATGTCGAGCTGAGGAGGGTCGGTGATAAATGTCAGCTAAGATTTCCCAATGGCTCCGGTCAAGCTCGAAACATTCGACGGTTCCTGAGAAAGAGCAACAACTATTATATCAGTAACAAGGTTCGGTTAAGAAATTGAAGTACAAAGAATAACTAACGGGATAGGAGGTTCGGTACTCACTGGGTTCGGAGTAGGAGGTCGGAACCTTAACAAAAGGTACGGTATCACCCTCACACTCCTACCACTTCCCCCGAACCCAGAACCATGTCTCCTTCCACCCTTTAATGGAGAAAGGGAGACCAGACACAAAGGGAGCATGTCCTCCCCAGGGGCATAATGAATACCAACCCTTGGAATCCCCCTTGCCTAACGACCTAGGTTGATAAATGGTTTGAAAAACATAAAGGGGCATATCCTCGCCTAAAGAAGTCTGCTTCCAAAGAATATAAGACCAACTAATTGTGCCCAAGCGTTGGGAGAGAGCTGGGTAGGAGCCAGTCCGTATAACCTAAGGAGCGCTCGAAAGAAAGGGTGAAAGGGAAAACGAAGCCCTGATTTAAGGAGGTGTTCGCTTATGGCTACGCATCCCTACCTAGGGTAGCAGGCTCACTCACTGGGAGATGGGGATAGTAATTCGATATTATAAGGGACCCTAAGGTCAGCTAGTTTGGTTGGGTTAACATTAGAAGGAACTTTGGCTGCCCCCCAGGTTATCCCCTCATCTTCGCCATCCGACTGTTCCCCTGAAGTTCGTCGCCTTTGCTAACCTCAATGGCCCTGATAGGTTCGGCAGCAGTTGCCAACTCACTCCCTAACCCAACAGCCAGCCTATCAATGCCTACACTCTCCTCCTCCTCCTCAGAAGAAGACGACGCCATGGATCCGGGGACTTAAATAAAATTCTTGGTGAAATACAGCAAAAGATCACAACACTTACAGAAGAATCTTGACGAAGAAGGAAAGAAATCTCGAAGAATATACTGAGAAAAGCTCGTAAGGAGAGATTCACGTAAAGATATCAGAGGAACAATCTCCTTTTATAGACGGACATACCCAACCCTAGCCGTTGGATCTCGATCTTTGGCATCTAACCGTTCATTCCAAGGTTCTGATTTGAGCCATTCATAGTGTCTGACGCTCCACATTCAAAGGTCCAGATCCGAGCGTAGATTGGACGCACCCAAGCACGCCTGGGGTTGGCAGGAAGAGCGTGGGCACCAAACCATCATTTCGTATTAAATGCGGCGGCTCTAGCGTGTATGGGAAGTTGTACTAGGATAATTACCTTCCCTTGGAAATCGGATACGGCATCAAATCATTGAGGGGGCCTAGGGTCTCCCAGAATTCTTGGAAACATATCATGACAGCTAATCAGTGACAATCCTCCAATATTATTATACCAACCTTCGAAACGAACAATGGTACTTCGAATCGAAGAAGGGATTACGACCAACAATCCGACTTCGAAATTGAGCCTACGAACCTCAGCATACGTTACCTGTTCTAAGCATCCCTAAAAAAACTCATACCTCTGCCCTCAGGCAATCCACCTCGGAAAATGCTGATAAGAATGCCAATGAAAATTTACAACTCCCTTGTTGGAAAACATGAAAGTCCATGCATTACATGAATAACCATGCATAGACTTGGGGGACTATTGTTACCCCCCAGAATTGGAAGCTCCAGGTCAGCAGTTCGCGTGGACAGCCATGTATTCCCTTAAGCCAGGTGGACAGAAAGTCAGTTGAAAAGTCAATGGGGGAGCCAACACATGTAAGGTCAACAAAGGCTCCTAGGTCCGAAGCTCTTCCATGTGAAAGCAGAGGCTTCTAGGTCCGAAGCTCCTTCGTGTGAAAGCAGAGGCTCCTTGGGTCCGAGGCTCTTTCGTGTGAAAGCAGAGGCTACTTGGGTTCGAGGCTCCTTCGTCCAAAGGCAGAAGCTCTTGATGAACGAAGTACTGAAGCTTAACGCAGACGTTTCCTCATAGCAGATTCGAAGATTCTCAGAACTGATTGACATGACATCTACCATAGAGTGTCCGTAGCATTAATGTGTGTCAGTAAGTCAGTCTACAACGTAGAACGGCTGATCTTCTGCAAAACAATAATTGTAAAGATTGGACATTGATGTGAGGTTTCAATCTAGGGGGTGTCGCCATGTGGATTTGATCTAACGGTCACCACGTCAGCTAGATTAGTATAAATAAACCCCTCATTGTATAGAAGAAGAGGAGGGAAAAAATCACAAAAGAATATATTTATGCACTTTGCTTTGCTGGATCTTGAATAATATAACTTATATTGAAATCATAACACATTACAAGACATGGGCTTTTATCTATTCTTCCACATATTCCATTACAAAACAGATATTCATTTTAGGGAAATCGATCGAGCTCTTGTAGATAGCGCAAGAGCCGTTTAAATCAAATCACCGGAGCTTGAACAGTTGTGTCTCTTGTCGGAAAGCACTTCCCGCGTTCCATCCAATCATAGTACCTCTCCTGTTCCTGTAGAAACGCTCCGGATCATTGCTTGACGTGGTAAGGGTGGGCCCGGTATCTGTTGAGTTCATTTTTTGGGGTCAACAGTATGTATTTTATAAAAAAAAGTAAAAAGTATTGATTTATATTGACGTGGTGCCATCGTGCCTGTGTCCGACTGATTGTCCCCCAGTATGAAGGAAGTAGCAAGGGCCTGGTTGATCAACAAGGGAAGTGCTGGATGGGACACCGGACACCTGCTCACACATGAATATTTCCATGACATGTTAATGCTTTGTGGGGTTAAATGGGGAAATCTGTTGAATAATGTTTAGGAGCCCAATTGTGAATAAAATGGGTGGGTAGTCTGTTAAATTCATTTGGAATTTGAGAGTTGTGAGAGAGAGCCAACCTCCTGAAAGCTTGATAATCTTCTGTAATTCATTCCCATTTCTTGTATCTTAATGTTTTCTATTCAGTACAAAACTATACAAATGCATTCCGTACATTATTTCATTGCATTCATTCACTCAAGAAATAAAAAAAATACACATTGCAAGTCACAAATACAGCATCTGTTCTTATCTTCTCCTTCACTTTTGCATGATCTGTTGTTACATCCAGTCTTCTATAGCAGCAACAAAACTAAGTTACTACCACATACTTGTTTGAAAATTCATATGTTGACTTGTCCATCTCGCGTGTCCGTGCTTCTTAGATCCTGTAAGCATGTCCTTGTTCGGAAACATCGTTGGGCTGAAGCTGGTATAGGTGGTCGTACATTTGTTAGCTTATATTTATATTAGGCATTGAGGCTTTCAAGCAATATTCATTTTGTTGTTTTCTACTCTTAGCTTTCTTGCTCTTATCTGCATGCCCAGTGGAAAAATTCCAATGAAGATGCTAATTTACTCTTCTATTTTTATTGTCCCCAATTCCAGGCACAGAGAACTTAGATGAGCTTGTTTCTTCTGTTATTCAAAGGGTGGGCGGCATCAATGAGCAGCGCCCTCAACTTTTGGTGGGTGCAAAAGCATTTTGCGAAGTTATCTGTTTTATTATTATTTTTTTTCCTTTTGATATATAACTTTTTAATATTTCTTCCAAACTATATTACAGTACGAAGATGATGATGGCGATAAAGTTCTACTCACAACAGATGGAGATCTTATTGGTGCAGTTAGCTATGCGAGATCAGCGGGCCTAAAGGTGTGATAACCACTTCTTGTCTCATCATAAATTTCACAGGCTAATATATTGTCAGGGACAATGCATTTGGTTTACTTCTTGCTTGGCAAAATATGAGAGGCACCTCTTGTTAAGAGAGATTCATGATTTGATGCCTCAAGTTTTTCCCGCCATCCTAAGAGGGAAATAATTATAACTGCCCAATAATGATTATATGGTGAACATATTCTATGATGAATCTGTAAGATACAAGGTCTATGTTTGAAACCCCACTCATTTTATTCGTGGAATTTGACATGTTCTTTGAATGATTGAGCTAACATGAAATAAAGGTGCATAAACCAATATACATTTCCAAAATATCTCATTCCAATTTAACCATCTTTATCTCGAGCATATTCGGCAAGCACCTTCTAAGCTGAGCCGAACAATGCTACTTGTCATCAAATCTTCAATCAAACTCCGATTCTTTAGGGATGGTCCATTGACAAGCACTAAGCAATTGACTCTTTAAATCCTACAAAACAGAGACTAGCATGTATAGCCATCAAAAGTTTATTGTAATTCTTCATAACCATCAATTTCTCACCACTTTCGGCATTATAGTACTTGTTAGCCTTTCTTTAAAGAAAATTTAATTTATCTCAACACATCATAGAAAGCAAAGCATGAAATTTATATACATTTACTACAGTAGATGAAATAGCTGCCTATTGTTTAACAAGAACCATGGAATTAGATGTCTTTATTACGTGCAGAAAAGAAGAGATGGAACAAAAATGAATTTTTCATTAAATTACTGAACTATGCAGCTGTCTATAAATAGCAGTCCAAGTGGAATCTTACAACAGAAAATTAGTTACAGAATCTAGCTGTGTCAACAGCTTAACCGAAAGAACTATCTAGAGAGTGGTTATATAGACTCTAATATGCCCCCTCAAGATGTACTGTAAATGTTCTTTATAGACATCTTGGCCAAAAAAGGAACAAGTCTGAAGTTGGAAGAGGTTTCGTAAAGACGTTGGCTAGCTGATGTTGAGAATGAATTGGAAGAAATTGTTAAAGGGTATTTAGGTCTTTTATGTAATACCTAGGGTTTCCTAAGGTTTTCCTAACTCTTATTATAAATAGTGGGACAAGCTAACACTATTGTTAAGCCTTCTTGTTCTTTTACTCCAACATGGTATCAGAGCAAGATTATGGGAGATTAATTCCATAAGATTTGTTCAACTTTTTTTTTAATTCTCTGCCTACTCTCCTTACTTCAAAAAATAAAAAAATAAAAAATTGCGGTTACTGTTCATCAGCAGGTACTGTTCATCCGAAGGAGTTACTGTTCATCCGGCAGTTTACTGTTCAAAGTTCTTAGTTCTGGTCAGTGTTCAATTTGTTGATTTCCGATCTGCTTCGGTTATTGGTTATTGTTCGTATGACAGTACTACAAATGTTCGTAAGTCTGGTTATGATTCTCACGTTCTTCGTTTAAGCCCTACAGTTGTTTGTATTGTTGGTTTGTTTCCCTTGTGCGAGCTGTTTATTACTTGTTGAATTGGAAGGTATTAATATCGATGACTACACCTCAACCATTAACAACCCGTAAGTTGAACGGAACCAATTATTTAAATTGGTCTAAAGCTGTGAAAATAGCCCTAACTGGACAGGGAAAACATCGTCACCTCACGGAATCCGCCCCGGCAACAGATGATAAAAAGTATGACGACTGGATTCAGGCTGATGCGCAGATTGTAACATTGTTGTGGAATTCGATGGAGCCTCAGGTGGCTGATCTCTGTACTCATCTAGATACGTGCAAAGATATATGGGAGTATCTCCGTGTATTATATTCTAGTAATCTCACCAGGATGTATGATTTATCAGTGGAGTACTTCCAACTTCAGCAAGGCACGCAATCCGTTACAGATTATTTTGCCACATTCAACCGCCTCTATGAGGAGATGAATACTATCCTACCACTAACTATCGATCTGAAGGAAATGCAAAAGCAACGTGAGCAGATGGCTGTCATGAAGTTCTTGGCTGGGTTACGTCCAGACTTCGAACCAGTCCGATCTCAGATTCTTTCGAGTGCTACCCTCCCCACCATCACTGAAATGTATTCTCGTGTTTCCCGTAGTACTACCAAGGACAATGTTTCTGGCTCGGGTTCGTCTACGTCATCTGAGCATTCGGCACTTGTTACACAGATTCCCACTCGAAATCGAGATGATCCACTTAGTGGTGGTCGTGGTAGTTTCTCTCGTGGTCGCCGTGGTAGTGGCCCTCGGGGTGGACGTAGTGGCCGTGGTCGTGTCTCCATTCGTCAGTGCTCCTTTTGTGGGTTGGAGAATCATAATCGAGACACATGTTGGGATTTGGTTGGCCGTCCACCCAAATTTGCCAATGCAGTGACATCTGATCCAGATATTCCTACCATTCCAGTATCTCAGGCGGCTAAGGACATATCTGATGAGGAATATGCTCAGATCCTTCAGTATAGGGCATCTCAGCAGGCATCTCTTCCTATTGCTTCTTTAGCTCAACGAGGTACTTCTTCTGCTTGTCTTTCCATTCGTCCATCCCCTCCCTCACCCTGGGTCATAGATTCCGCAGCCACTGATCACATGTCAGGTACATCTTCTTTATTTACGCATATTCAGTCCACTTCTTCGTTGTCTCCTGTTACGGTTGCTGATGGTTCCACTATCCCTATCCGTGGCATTGGTACAGTGGACCCCTCACCCTCCTTATCTCTCTCCTCCGTCTTGTATATTCCTTCGTTTTCCTTTAATTTGATGTCAGTTAGTAAACTCACCAAACATCTTAATTGTTCTGTCTCATTTTTTCCTGATTCTGTCATTCTCCAGGATTTGAGGACGCGGAAGACGATTGGCACAGGGCGTGAGGACAATGGCCTTTATTACCTTGATCGTGATGAGAGTCCTGCACACCCTCCTACTGCATGTCCTGCTGTTGCATCTGCTCACCAAATCCATTGTCGCCTTGGTCATCCCTGCCTTGGCAACCTCAAGTTACTCTTTCCTAGTTTCAGTCATTTGTCTTCTTTAGAGTGTGAGTCTTGTCAATTGGGTAAGCATCGTCGTGTTTCATTTGCTTCCCCTGCTCATGTTCGAGCATCGAGTCCTTTTAGTTTAGTTCATTCAGATGTTTGGGGTCCTTCTCGTGTTACTTCTACAATTGGTTTTCGTTATTTTGTCACTTTTGTGGATGATTTTTCAAGAGTTACTTGGCTTTATTTAATGAAAGATCGTTCCGAATTATTCTCTATTTTTCGTGCATTTTGTGCTGAAGTTCAAACCCAATTTAATGTACCCGTGCGTATTCTTCGTAGTGATAATGCTCGAGAATATTTTTCTCAGCCCTTTACTTCCTATATGTCGCACTCTGGTATCCTGCATCAGTCTTCTTGCCCTCACACACCACAGCAAAATGGGGTTGCTGAGCGTAAGAATCGACATCTCCTAGAGGTGGGCCGTACTCTCCTTTTTGAGATGAACGTTCCCAAACATTTCTGGGGCGATGCGGTTCTTACAGCTTGCTTCCTAATCAACCGGATGCCATCCTCTACCCTGCGAGGCACGGTTCCCCATTCCATTCTTTTTCCCCGTTCACCTTTATTTAGCTTACCTCCTCGCATATTTGGGTGTGTTTGTTTTGTTCATCAGTTGACTCCCGGCAGGGACAAGTTAGATCCCCGTGCTTTAAAATGTGTCTTCCTCGGCTATTCTCGCACGCAAAAAGGTTATCGATGTTATAGTCCATCATTACGTCGCTCATTTGTGTGTGCCGATGTTACATTCTTTGAGTCCACCCCTTACTTTTCTACCCCATCATCTCAAGTTGATCTGGATGTTACACTTCCTTTGCCCATTGACCCTACCCCTACGCTATCTTCCTCCGCTCCAGATCCTATCCCCTCCAATCGTTCTTCGGCCCCTTTGCAGGTATACTCTCGTCGCCAGAAGGACGCCTCCGCTGCTGTGCCCATCAATTCTGTGCCCTCAGATTCTTCTCCAGCAGACCCGCCCATGTCTGACATGGACATGCCCATTGCCATCCGGAAAGGTAAGCGCACCTGTACTACCCATCCTATTTCTAACTTTGTCTCATATGCGCACCTATCTCCTTCATACTCCTCTTTTGTTGCTTCTCTGTCCTCTGTTTCTGTTCCTAAGTCCGTTTCAGAGGCCCTTATTCTCCCTGGTTGGGCAAAAGCAATGGAGGAAGAAATGACTGCTTTACATCAGAATGGCACTTGGGATCTTGTCTCGCTTCCGCCTGACAAAACTACAGTTGGATGTAAATGGGTGTACACTGTTAAGGTTCATCCGGACGGCACCGTTGATCGACTCAAGGCTCGCTTAGTTGCTAAAGGCTATACTCAGGTCTACGGTCTTGATTACTATGAGACATTTTCTCCCGTTGCCAAGCTCGCTTCTGTTCGTTTGTTCATCTCTCTGGCTGCCACTTTTCTTTGGCCCTTACATCAGCTTGATATCAAGAATGCTTTCTTAAATGGCGATCTGACTGAGGAAGTTTATATGGAGCAACCTCCTGGGTTTGTTGCTCAGGGGGAGTCTGATTTGGTATGTCGTTTGAAGAAGTCTATTTATGGCCTCAAGCAGTCTCCTAGAGCATGGTTTGGAAGATTTAGTGAAGTGGTCACTGAATTTGGTCTTCAGCGTTGTGGAGTCGATCATTCTGTCTTCTACAAGCACAGTAAAGTCGGCAGAATATTGTTAATTGTGTATGTGGATGACATCGTGATTACTGGGGATGATCACAGTGGTATTCAAGAACTCAAAAAGTGTTTGCATAGTAAGTTCCAAACCAAAGATTTGGGGCACTTAAAGTATTTCTTGGGGATTGAAGTTGCTCGATCAAGTCAGGGCATTTACCTGTCCCAGAGAAAATATGTCCTTGATCTATTGAGCGAAACAGGAATGCTAGGAGCAAAACCTATTGACTCGCCTATGGATCCAAACACCAAATTATTGCCAGAT